GTATTCTGAGTATCTTCCAACCTGAGAGGCTCATCTTCCAGCACTGTATCAATGTTCCTTGTGTATTCGTAAGATTCCAGTGGTCAGTTTTTTTCAGAAGCACATCACGAGGTTCTTCTTCTCAGTCTGCCTTAAGTCTGGCAGCTCCACTGAAAGCTGCTCTCCATGGGTGATCCTTCTGGTGTTTGAAATACCAGTGGTGTAGCCTCCAGTGTATCTCATCAACAAAAGCAAGCCACCACAAGAAGACAAACTGACAGATGATGAGTGATAAACGTATTTGAAAACTTATTAATACAATGCTCACTACATATGGAGAATAGCGATACTTTTCCCAAGAACCCAAAACTAAACTAAAACAGAGAGTTCAGAGAAGCAGAAGGCATTTATTTCTATGGAGTCAATTTCTGGTACAAGTAACCATCCAATATTAAGAAACTCAACTGAAATATACATGCAGACCTAACAAGACAGCATTTCAATCGCACCATTACAGGAGCCTTGGTGATGTAATGGCTAAGTGCTCAGCTGCTAACTTAAAGGTTGCTGGTTCGAACCCCCCAGCCACTCTGTAGGAGCACAGACTGGTGACCTACTCCTATGAAGACTGCAGCCTACGCCAGCCGACAGGGCTGCTCTCCTCTTGTACTCTGTCCTGCACGGTCACTATGAGTGGGAATCGACTTGAGGGCACACAAAATTCCCCTTAGTTGCCTACAAAATTAACTGAGTATGGCTTTGCTCCGCTCTCTGCAGCTCAGACTTCACTTGGTCTGCCCAGGAGGACGAATGGCCCAAACAGCATTGGTAAGGCACCATTAACCTGAGAGACACCAATGCGCCATCCCACACAGCCACAGGAAAGCAGAGACCGCTCAGCTCTGCTCTCCACCACTCAGTGGTTGCACAGATGGGTGATCAACACATCAAGTGCAGGAAAGTACCAGCGCTCAGGCCAAAATTCCACCCGGCTTCTGCCAGCGGACTTCCCACAAGTGGTTTACACTGCTCCATGTGACTTCTAGAAGTACGTGGGGACACCCCAGACACCCTCAACAATGAGGCTGGATTCTCTGACATCCTAGCTCTGGACTCTGAAATGGACTCTGCTGCAGGGTGGGGAGCTATTCCCCCCACACCACACATCCCTTATCCCCAGCAGCAGTGAGGGGCGGGGGAGGGGAGCATCAGCATCCCAGAACGATGGCATACTACTCACTGTTCTGTCTCTTTGAGAAGCCAGCATTTTATCAGAACAAACTATCCACAGACATAAAAGGCTACCTTCAGTTTCAAAGGTGTTCAAATACATGTTTCCACAGTGAGCCCTGGACCCCAGAATCAAACCCTGCCCCCCATCAGGCAGACAGAGAAGGCCTAAGGACTTGCTTCTCTTCACTGAGCACTGCTGCTCTGGCCACCATGATGCACAAGGATCATCTTGGTTCCCACGGAACTTCATACGGAATCGCTTTGCTCAGAGCAAGACACGGGCACAGCATGAGTGTCCCATGTTGGGGCTGGGTGGGCAGGGGTGAGAGCACAGACCGACTGACAGGCACAGAGAGCTTCAAGAAAAGTCAACAAAATCTAAGTCATCTCGAGGGCCAGTCTGAGGACTTGTCTCGAGGATGCCAGCAACCAACCACAGCTCTCCAGTGAGCGGGCCAATGAGAGGAGATGTAGGAAGCAGCTTCTCTGTCAGACTTTTAGGTCTCTCTTGTCCTGTTTGCTCCCTAAAGAAACATGGTGAGCTGAGTCAAGAGGAACCAGTCTCCTATTGTACTTCCTAGGAAATGAGCCATCCTTTCCCTGACCCATCGCACCCTTCACAGACTCACCTCCCAGGGGCAGAAGATCTGAGAGGCTGGCTGATTCGCACTCGTAACTCCTGTCCACTGAGTGAGTTAAAAGGGACTCCACAGGCTATCTCAAAGTACGTCAGTCAGGTGGAGAGCCGTATTTCCAGGTGCAAGAAGTTCAAGGGAGAATGGAATGGAAAATTCCCACCAACTATTTGAAGCCCCCTTCTACTTTTTCCTCAATTCCCACATGAGGCAAAGTCAGGTCTCTGGGCCGGAAGAGGCTTTGACTCCACCAACAGAAGACCACAGCGATGAAGGACTAGTTCAGGCCTTACGTTGTTTATTTAAATGGACACTCAACTATTAGGCAGCCTGGATCTCCATGCAGATGGACAAGTATTATAATGCGAACTACAGAACAAGTGATGTCTCCATGATGCTGTTCAGCTTCTCGGGCCTCGAAAAAACACCCCAGGGCAAAGCGGAAAAGTATCACACCCAGAAAGATGGAGACAGATCAGAACGTCCACAACTTAAGACATGGTGTGCAAAAGTCAGGGTCTGATAAGTACAAGGTTTCCGTGGAGTGGCTGGTGGGCTTGAACCACCAACCTTGTGACTAGCAGTCCCATGTTCATCCTACAGGGCCACACCAGGACTCCACTCTTTTCTCTAGTTGCGTCCATCTTATGAGAGTTAAAGGTTATGAAATAATCAAAGGCATCAAAAGCAGGAAGAAAGAGAAATCGAGCTATTTAAATAAACCACAGACTCAAACATCTATTCTGGGAATTAAAAAAAAAAAAAGTGAAGTTTACCACCACGATAAATCATCACCCTCTGGTTGATTTGTCTGAGGAAGCTGGGAAACGGTGGGTGAAGGCTCCTCCGGCCCAGGTGCCCCTGGCCAAGCTGCACTAATGAACCTAAGAGTCGGTTTCCCAATGTGTAAAAGGTGAAACCTAGGCCAGGATGTTAAGAGTCCCTTTAGCTCTAAATGTGTAATCTACTGACAGGAGAGATGGCCTGCTTGCCATGGAACTGTCGCTACGCTCATGCAGTGCTGGGAGCATGGTTCTGGCGTGAGGGTTTCTGTGTCTCTCAGGCCCAAGAAGAGAGGCAGCATCTACAGGAGGGCCATCTCCGACCACCAGGGCAGGAGAAGGGCAGCAGTCAGGAACCAGCATGTGTGCAGGGGCAGAGGTAGATCCTCCTACTTAACCCTTGGCAAGAGTTGGGTAAGTCTCTAACCCAGCAAACTGATAGCAACAAGCCTACTGGCTCATACCTGGCCAGCACAGTGGTGTTAACTTAAAGAATTAAAAAGCCACGATGGAAAAGCCAGGAGTCCCTTTTTGTGATTGTTGTTGTTAAGTGCCACTGAATTGGTTCCAACTCAGAGTGACCATGGATGTGTGCAAATGGTTACACACTCAACTACTAATGGAAAAGCTGGTGTTTCAAAAGACGTCTGGTAATCTGCTTCCAGAAGGTCACAGCCTTAAAAACCCTAGGGAGCTCAGTTCTACCCAGACACCCATGGGGTCACCATGAGTAGGAAGCCACCTGACAACTGTTCTTGGGAGGAGGGGAGGTTGATTATTTCAAAGTCAAGAGATTTCATATCAACATTGAGCTATCTGAATTCTTTAAATATAAAAAATCCAACCCAGAGACAGGTTGGAACTTAGTGAAATGCTGTCCCCAACAGAGATGGGCACAGATCTTCCGGTCCACACAGAGGCTGCGGCACTCGCTCAAGTGACATGACTAGTTCCAGCCTTTCTTTCCCAGTGGCTGCTGGTCCCTAAGTATGGATAATACCATCCCAAAGGTGGTGACGGCTGGAAAGCGCCGTCGAGTGGGTTCCAACTTAAAGCGATCCTGTATAGGGTTTTAAGGGAACAACTGGTGGGTATGAACTGTCAATTTGTGGTTCCCAGTCCAGTGCTGATCCTACAGCCCCACACCAGGGGTCCTCCCAAGGGTTAGGGTGATCAATACAAGAGAATCTGAAAGACCACTGTACAGAACTATGCAAACAAGAGTTATTATTACACAGTATCTGCTCATTGTTGCTGTTGTTAAGTGCCGTCAGAAGTTACTTGACGGTTTTCAAGGAACCGCTGGTGGATTTGAACCACCAACTTTGCAGTCCAGGGCATTATCCCACAGCGCCACATTTGTTGTGGTGGTCGTTAAATGCCATCGAGTCAGTTCCAACCCATAGCAACCATGTATGGGGTTTCCTAGGAGTGGCTGGTGAACTTGAACCACTGACCTTGCCGTTTAAATGGACTCTGCAGTCAAGCACATTAACCCAGAGCGCCAGCCACGTTAGACCTCCACAAACCCCTTATTCGGATATTCAAGAGGGGGAAAAGAGGCTTGTTTGACACACTCTCAGTTAAAACTTTCAGACCAACCTAAGATATCTATCAGACTGGTTCTGTGTGATCCTGAGAATTGTGGAATTCTAAATATGTGACTGGAACTTGAATGCATCATTTTGTTAGGTGCCACTGAATTAGTTCTGACTCACAGCCACCCTTTATAGAATTTTCCAAGCTGTAAATCTTTGCCGAAGCAGAAAGCCTCATCTTTCTCTCATAGAGTGGCTGGTGGGCTCAAGCCGTGAACCATAGGGTTAGCAGTTCAGTGCTTACTCTACAGAGCCCAGATCCTTACAAAAGACTTTAAAGGCTCCAGATTGGTGCCACTTTTTGCTTTACACTCCAGTTACGTTTAACCAGCTCTGACATTCCTATTTAAAAATCAAAGAGTTGGGGCGATCAAGGCAGGCTCCTTAGTCTGACAGGTGGGCATTCACTTGCCTTCCCAGAGCAAGCACGTCTGCGGCTCGCTTTTCATGTGGCTGTGACAAGGGGTGACCTCACTTTCTTCCCAAACCAGATTGGTGGAAAGTTATAAAATAAAACACCTGTCGGGATCACTTGCCAAGTTTCTGGGACTTTCTGTCACTTTACAGACAGGCAGATGTCATAAAAGAGGGTCTGGGTCCCCAGAACCAAGAGGACGCTCCGGACAGCATTTGTACACGAGCTAAGTGCCTCCCCATTCCTTTCAGTCGCCGATGAGTGAACTCAGACCCGAGGATGCCCAGGAGCTCGGTGTCCCCACCCAGCCCGGCTGTCTTCTGCGGACACCGCCTGCCTTCCCGTCCCGCACACTCACTGCTCGGCCGGACACAGCGTCGCGGGCTGGGGCTGCCCGCCGGCCGCCGCCTTCCCGCCCTCGCGCACCGCGGCTCTGGCGGGGCCGGGGGAAACGGCTCCCGCCTCCCGCGCCGGCTTCTCGGCGCAGCTCGCGCCCGGCCACGCTCCGGGCTGGGGCATGGCCCCTCGACTCATGCGGCCGCCGTCGCTCCGGCTCCGAGTAGTCCCAGCCCTCCCGTCCTGCGTCCGGCAGTGGCCGCAGCTGCTCAGCTCCGGGCGCCTTCAGAGCGTCTGCACGGCGCTTCCGCGAGCGTCACCGCGGCGCGCCCGGAGATCTCCGACCCAGCGGGAGGGGCCCCGAGGACAGAGCCAAGGCGCGGCGCCTGCCTCTGCGCCTGCGCAAGCTGAGTCGCCCGCTACCGCGCATGTTCCGCGCCGCGCCTCGCTGCCCGCCTACCAAACCATTCGACGCGTTCCCTGTTCTGCTGTGCTTCCGGACCCCTACCCCCCAACCCCCAAGTGTGTGAACCCAGCGATGGAAAAGGTCTGGGTGGGTCCTCGCCAGAAGAAGAAAAGCAGCTCTGAGGGTGGGGGGCGCTAACGTGTTGGGCCGACTTTCCGTGACACTCGACTTCCCAGCATCGGTAGCTCTTCAGAGCTCTTCTGACTAGACAGGTGAGACCGGGAGTTACCGCCCAGCACTCCGCACCCCGGAGTGGGCGAGATGGGCACGAACCGATCCGGCTGGGCGCCATCGATCTGGGCAGTGCAGTGTGTGCTGTTGGTGGTCCTCTAGTCCGTTCCCCGGAGTCCTGGTGTGGCGCTGCAGGTTCATGCCCTGGACCGTAAGGTCAGTGGTTCAAACCAACCAGCTGCTCCTTGAAAACCGACTCGACGCCACGTAACAACACCTGTGCAGTGCACAAACCAAGCCCATTGCCAATCTACCAAATGTCGTAGATAATTATCATTTCCAAGGAAGAGAAAAAGAGGAAGACCCCCAGGGAGCTGGATTGGCAAAGTGGCAGCATCAAGGTTGGCCCGGGATCGGGCAGTGTTTCGTGCTGTTGTACATAAGGTCGCTAAGAGTCGGTACCGACTTGATGGCACCAAACAACAAGACTGTAAATCGCTACTAGAGCAAAGACTCTTCTTTCTTCCTAGGAGTGGCTGGTGGGTTCGAACTGCTGGTTTTGTAGTTAGCAGTCCAGTGCTTACCCCACAGCGCCATTAGGATTTCCTGTGCAGCGTACAAGGGGGACTTCAAATGGTCCGTGGGGAAATTCCATTCTGTGTTGGGTCCATTTTTGCACGCGCTTTTTAACACCCCTTTGTAGACGTGCGCAGTAGGGTTTTCAAGAAACTTTGGGAAACTTGTCTCCAGGCCTGCCATCTGCAGCACTTCTGGATGGGTTAAATAGCCAATCTTTTAGCTAGTGCAGCGTTGTAATCATTTGCACCATCCAGGGACTCCTGTCTTACATGATATTTTTCCAGAGAAACGTTTTAAGAGCAAAGAGCAAATGTGTTTCGGGGGGGGCGGGGGCGACATACAGACAAGAGGGGAAATGTTTCATCTCTGGGAACAAGGGCTGGGGAGTAGCCTCTAAACTCTATAAAGTTGTGAGTGTCAGGGAAACTACTCATGGAGCACAGAACTCAAGATGGAAGGAATGGAAGTGCATGGGCAATCCAGACACCTGCAGGTAGTTCAGGCTGGCACTTGGAGGAACAGGTTGTGGCTAGTATGGCATTTTATTGAAAGACAAAGCTGGAAAAGATGCTAAAGACCAGACCCTGAAGAGCCATGTGAACCAACCTCAGGAGCTAAGCTTGGCTCATGTTGAAAGATCTTTTTCTTCACTGCTTTCATGTCAGCCCTAAAAGTCCATGTGACCAGTTGTTGAAACAACATAATGTGGTTATTGTGGTACCATAGGATAAACATTGGACACTAACCACAAGATCGGCGGTTCAAATTCACCCAGTTACTCCTTGGAAACCCTATACAGTATTGCTATAGAGTTAGAACTGATTTGATGGCACTCAACAACCACGTTAGCCAAATGTTTTTGTTATATTACCTCTCGTATCCCCTTATCATTGTAGATTGTTGTTGTTAAGTTAGTTCTGACCCATAGCGACCCTGCATAGGGTTTCCAAGGGCAACTGGTGAACTTGAACCTCCGACCTTGTTTGAACCAGTCAAACTGACTTTGCAGTCCAGTGTGTTAACCCACAACGCCACACCAGGACTCAATATTGAACATAAGATGTATTAATAATAAACAAAAAGCCTCCTGACTCAATGATCCTGTAGGACATAGGAGAACTCCTTTAGGTTCCTAAGACGGTAAATCTTGACAGGAGCAGATAGCCTCATCTTTCTCCCAAGGAGCAGCTAGTGGGTTTGAACTGCCAACCTTGAGGTTAGCAGTCCCAACACTTAATCTACCCAAGGTCTCCTTGTACTAATTTTGTTAAGTGCTGTTGAGTCGGTTCTGACTCGTAGTGACCCTGTGTAGGGTTTCTAAGGAGCAGCTGGGGGGTTTGCACCACCAACCTTGTGGTTCACAGTCCAGTGCTAATCCTACAGCGCTATGTGGTTAACTTTATATCTCAAAATTTAAGTTACAGGGTATTAAATGAGAAGAGTCATCTTTCAAGGACTTGGCAGCCTCCGCTAGGGAAATGGTCAGTGTATTTGCATGCAGGAGAATTGTATTATGTGAACGTGAGATTTTCCTTGTCAGCCCCCACGATCCCATAAGCCAATTCCTTGTAATACTTTTCTTAATACGTGGGACCTTCAGAAAGTTTGTGGAAAAATTCCTGCCACTTTCCCACAAAACTTTGAAGTCTCTTTGTCTATGTAGCCTACTGGCTCGGCATCTCTAAGTGATGGAAGATGTACCTAAGGACAAAAGCTCCCAGCTGAATAGCTCTGTGCATTTCTGAACCAATTTGTTAAAAATATATAAAGATATAATATCTTTTAGATGCAATAATTAATCTCAAGGAATATGGAAATTTATTAGCAGAGTTTCAACAAAAATTTGCATAATTCATAGCCGAGATTTTAAAATGTGTCACTAATAAGTGTAACTAGGGGTGCTTCTCCTACATTTGGGCTCACAGAGCTTTATAAGCTCCCTGTCAGCCATGACAACCACTGAAATCAAGAATCAGGGCTTCTGGAAAATACACTGAGGCCACTAAGAAGTACCTTTGCGATTCCTTACACTTAAGGAGCTCTGGTAGCGTAGTGGTTATGAATTGGGTTGTAAACTACCAGCTCATTTGCGGGAGAAAGATGAGGCTTTCTGCTCCCATAAAGATTTACAGCCTCGGAAACCCTGTACAGGGTTGCTATGAGTCAGAACGGATTCCAAGGCACACAACAACAACAACACACTACATCTAGGAAACCTGCATGTTATGTGTAAAACAAATGTGGGACTATGAAAGCGAAAGAAGAATGCAGGCTCGTTAAGATCCTTGGCACCCAAGGAAAGGCACCGTGGTGACCTCTCTGGGTCTTCTTTGATCTCATACACCCCAGACCTGGAGTTGAAAAATCTGGCAATCAGAAATGCCAACAAGCATAGAGGATGGAAGCCAAAATGACCAGCTAAGGGGCAGCCTGGCAAGACAGAAAACTTTGGGACAAGACGCCTTCTACTCTAGCAGAACCTTGCAGACAAAAAAACCCCCACAAAACTGGTCACCATCAATACCTGCACCTGAACAGGCCAGTGGAGAACCTAGAGATCCCCCCTTGCAGAGTTGTAATGAGGTATCACTGTACCCCTCCAAGGTAGTATCAGAGAAATCTAAGTCCAAGTAGGGAACTAGGACTTCTCATTTCAACTAGCCAGTGCAGCTCCCTTAACTGCAGTGGAGACCACGTGGGAGAACAGACCAGACGAGACATCTCTCATCCACCAAAAACCAGGTACCTCTTCCACTTCCCCCACGAGCCAGTGGATCTCAGTATTTTCACCATTGCCCAGTGGTCACAAGGCCATCCACATTGCAGTGGCAGTGGGGTGGGAGAACTCCCACCGTTATCAAGTATAGCCCCACATCCTACTCGGAAGCTGTCATTAGAGGCCTGGTAGGAAGCCCTCCACCCCAGCCCCTTTCTCTGCAGTCAAAACGATTTAAATAACATCTGGCATTTCCTAACAATATACGAGATCCAAGTTTCAAAGACAACCCACACAACTGTGCAGTTGCACTCCTGGGTATGTATTCCATACAAATGAAACCTTACAGTCACACAAAATCCTGCACACCAATGCTACCCATGCTATGTGAGAAGTCTTCAGAAAGTTTGTAGAAAATGCATATTATGAAAAAAACTGCATGCCTTTCAAGAAATTTTTGCACCAAAATAAACTCTCACTTCCTTGTTAATGACAAGAGAATGATTAAGACTCTGCTCCTGCAAAGATTTACAGCCTTGAAAGCCCTATACAAGGTAGCTGTGAGTCTGAAATAGCTTGATGACCCAGAGCAGCGGCAGCATCTCGGTATAAACTGTCTGAACTTAGTGTCTTATGTTGAGACACTAAGAAGGACAAAGACATCAGTTTTCAAAGAACCCTTCTCCGTGGAGAGATGGAGCAGCTGGGGACTCTAGACTCAAGGTGGGAGAGGGACTTTGTGCTGGCAGCTGGGGGGCTGGCATGCAGGGTATATGCTTTGGTTGGTTGAATGGTTATGTATTCCTGAGTGCTTCGGTGTACATCACACACACAAAAAAGAACCCCTATGAAAGCAATGTGAATTCTGCCAAAATTGAAGCAAGAACAAAGATCAAATTTATGGTGAATCTTGGGTAGAAAAATGGTGAAAAGTTCTGATGCTTTATGAAAAGTTTACAGGGACAATGCTCCCAATGAAAGCAGCAGTTTACAAATGAATAACTCGTTTTAAGGAAGGAAAACATGGTGCTGAAGGTGAAGCCTGTGGTAGCTGGCCACATCAATTTGCAAGGAAATAATCTTGTGCATGCCCTAATTGAAGAAGACCTATGATTTATAGCAGAAGCAATAGGTAACATTCAAGGCATCTCAACCTTACATCTTCACTTTACACAATTTCAACAGAAAAGATTCAGCAAACTTTCTGTTGCACCCAGATCAGCTGCAGACAAGAGTAGAACTTCCAGTGGACACTTTCAATAAGGG